ATCCATCCATCCATCATCCATCCATCCATCATCCATCCATCCATCCATCCCACCCTGTGCCACTGCCACGCTCACACCCATCCAGCCTCAACACCCCCACGGAGAGCTCTGCACATTGTTCCACAATTTTTAGCTTGTTTAATTGTTCCACAATTCAGAGATTCTCAGCCAACCCACCTAGCAGGATACATTATTTAACTATTTGTTTCAGCACTTTTGAGTGCAGAATATGAGAAACTTCATGCATTAATAGTGAAGAATAAATCAAAATGGGACATCTATACTTTCCACTGGAGAACGGGGAAAGATGGAACATTGGAAGAGAAAACAAAAGTGTTCCTGGGAGAGTTCAGAGGTAAGGAAGATCAAAACAATTTACAAATACTTTTCATTTGCTTCCTCATAATACAGTGAAAAGCACCACAAAATTTAACCTGTGGGGGCACAGACTTCCAGCTCATGCTGCAAATATTTAGAATTTTGCTGTTTTCAGCTGCCATGCCCCTTCAGTGCTGCGCTCCTGCCCTGCCTCCCTGCTCACACACTGCATCTCCTCTCTCACACCTCCCTTTGCACCCAAATCTGGCACACCATCCACACCTTGAGATCTTGGCTATCCCTGAGCTACCTCTCAGCCCACAGACAAGGCCAGGCCCCAGATAATCGAGTGGTACTGGCAGCAAAAGCATTTAACTTCTCAGCTCGTTCCACCCCAAAGTGTGGCAATAGCCTAGAAATATAGAGAGATGAGTGGCAAATCTACAGGAAAAAGGCACAAATATCTGACTAAACAGAAGATGAAGAGGATGGCTTTGGCAAGCAGGAGTACCTACAGCTCCAGAAGAAAATGAAGGGATAAAAGCATGCTGTGTTCTGAGCACAGGGACAAAAAGACTGATTTAGACTAGCAACAGCTAGCAGAGAAACTGCAATTATTTTACCAATAATTACTACTGGAATTTTTCCTATGATCTTACATCAATAAATTAATGAAACCTTTCACATTCTGGAATCAGATGAAAGCTGAAATAATGTAACCTACATAAACATGCACTCAAAGTAGTGCTAGAAAGCAATTTAAAATAGAGGGTTTACAAACTGGAGAAGAAAGTTCAATAACAATTGTGAACAGATTAATAAAAAGATACTTGAAATGATGTGCTGTAGAAGAGGGAGGCTGCTTTGTGCCTTCTCTGATGGTGAGAGCCTCTGATAAGAAAGAGAAAGGGCTGTGCATGTGACAAGGCCCTCATGAAACAGTAGAAGTGTCAGGAAATTAGAATTTCAGCCATTTCCACAGAGGTCAACCAGTGCAGCCACTCCAGTGAGGACCCTGGGTTTGACTTGTCTCCTCCAGCAAATGAAACTCTACTTTATTTGCAAAAAAAAAGGGAAATTTGAATTGTCTCTAAATTCAGCCATGTCTAAAGAGCAGAACCAGCCTACTAATATGCAATAGTAAGAAAAAACCAAGGATTATTACTGTAAATATTCATGTATCTATGTATTCCACTTAGGTGGAGCAGCAATCAGTGACAAGCAGATTTCAAGTAGTTCCTATGGTTTGGCTTTCCAAAAAAAAGTTACCATTACAAACTTAAATATTCTCATTTTTGTGTCAGTGACTGAACTTCTCCCTGTCCACTACCAATATGTTGTATTTATTGTATATATTGTATTGCATATTCTATATATTGTTTGTCCACAAAAAGGTCCCACTAAGATGTTTCAAGAAAACAGAGAAATTCTGTCCAACATTTTAATGAAATGTATTAAATACTCTCAGCTTTTCAGGACAGCAGGAGTGGTTTTAAAGTCTCCACACACATTTCGAGCAATGGATTCTGAAAGACACAAACTCAAGCAGCAGAAACTTTGTACCATGTGTTTATTCACCACTTCCCTTGTCATTTCCAGAACCCCTGGCATTAGTCTCTACACTAATTTCCTATGCTTTTGTTGTTATTAGGAATTGCTGGAATGTCCATTAGGGAGGAACCACTCTGGGCTTCCATTGCTTACAGAGGCATCCTTCTCTCCTCAATTCTTGGCAACTTCTGCTTCCCCTTCTCCTGCAGCACAAAACTGGGCTCAGAACACTGGGACTACATTAAAGCAGTGCCCACAGACCTAACTGCTCACTCAGATCTTGTTCATGAAGGTGAAAATAAAATGTTTGCATGCTGAAGACTTTGACATTTCTGCCTATTGCCTCAGCCTAACATTCAGTATTTCACATGCACCTTAAATGGATGCTCACACTGAATCTCAGGAAGACAGACTCTTTATTTGTCTTGGAGTTAAGCTTGAAAAATACTCAATAATGCAGCAGGCAATTTCAGCTGTGGGGTAGGAAGAAGACAGAGGGACTAAAACCAACTTTTCCAATGGAGTTCAAGAACTGGCAGACATGATAAGGTGTCAGGAAAAGCAGAAGAAAACACTTCAAAACACACAAGCAAGCAAACAAACGAACAAACAAACAAACAAACAATAACAAACAAAACAAAACCCCCAAAAGACAGACACCCCTCCTAAAAAAAACCCAAACCCTCCAAAAACCCAAATAAACAAACAAACAAAAAAAAACCAGAAAAACCCAAACAGCCAAACAAACAACACAAAAAAAACCTCCAAAAAACCCAAAGCACACCTAAGAGACTCAACCCAACTGAAAAACAAACCTACACAAACAAAACCAAACCTCCTGAAAAATCCCTCAGAACTAAAACTAAAAAACAAGACAGAAACAAACAAGCAACCACAGAAACCAAGGGGAAAACCCCCAAACTCAAAACAAATCCCAACCAAACCCAAATAACCAACCAAAAAACTCCCCAAAAATGAATAAAACAAAGAAAGGGGAAACAAGCCAGATCTAAGCCACTGCTGAGATGGAGGTGCCACCAATATCTGCTGGCAGCAATATATTGTAATTCCGACCCATAGGTATGAAATTCACTAATTTGGCATCACAAAAAGTATCCTGAAGGCTGCCAATCCTGCAGCTGAGAGCAAAGCAAGAAGAAACTTCCACTGAACTGGGAGAAAAAGAAGCCAGAAAGAAAAACCTTTTCGTGTAGTCACTGCAGAATATTTGCATCTACCAACTTACAGTGAAGGTTAAAAAAAAAAAAAAGCCCAAAAAATGTAAAAGTAGGAAAATATTAAAATGCTAGAATAATAGAGATCACACAAAATAAAATCAGGGAGTGAAATGTTAAATTTAATAAGCTTCCTGCTCTTACAGCAACATTTTGTGTTGAACTGCTAAAAGTACTTTAAAAGGAAGGCAAGTTCAGGCACTTGAACGATGGTGCCAGAAGCTGCAGCACTTTTCTGTTATCTC